AAGCCGAATCCAGATAAATGTTCAGGATCTCGAAACCGAATCAATGATCCCTAACGCACCCGAATCAGAAATGACTATTCACGAAACAGAAAACAGATCAACTAACACGAGACACACTTCGCCTGAATCAAATCCAAACTCGATTCAATTTTCAAACAAAAACTTTTATGCCTATCCTCACCGAATTGAATTTATAACAGGTAAAAAGAAAAACAAGATCAAATTACTTCCGAATAAGACACTAAGGTGCTCTTTAATTAACCACTTATGTTCCTCATTTATTTTGGATTGTATAAAAAATTATTGTACCCCTGGTATTAAATACGGAATTTGTTACGACGATCAGAAACTTTTGCCCATACTTAGTAAAATTATGACACAATCTTTTTCTGCCAAACATATTGTACTAGAAAAAGCTGCATTTAAACCAATTTATTTAGACAAACAAGAAATGAAAGACGAAATAACTTTGTACCATCATAAATTTCACAACGGAATTAATGAAACTTATTCTCATTTCCAAAAGACTCACTATACACCAAAACTTAAAGACCTTATAACTGACATCATTAATAAATCTGTTTAAAAGCTAAATACGAACGAAAACCTTACAAAGAACCAATCCAAGGCCCATTTTTCAGTAACAAACCATTCCAACTAGTGTTCATAGATATTTTTACTATTGAAAATACTAAATATGTAACTTTTATAGACCACTTTAGTCGATATGCCCAAGCCTATCAGACCATGTCACGAAATCACGTTGACATACTATCTAAAATGAAACATTTCTTTTCACATCATGGATTTCCAAAATCACTTCATGCCGATTATGCAGAATTACGTTCAGAAGTTATTAAAGATTATTGTAAAGCTCATGAAATACGTTTGCACTTAGGAAGCACCAGCAATCCTAGTTCTATTGCACCAATTGAACGATTACATAGCACCATCGGAGAAAAATTTCGAATCCTAAGACAGACTCGAAAAACAGACACTACTACTGACCTAATGACTGACGTTATATTAAATTACAATCAATCTGTTCATTCTACTACAAAACATACACCTTTTGATTTATTATACGGTAGTACTGAAGACCCTTATTCATCACATCTTAAACAGATATTAGAAAAAGACAAAATTAATGAACAAATCGCTCACGATTCTTATAATCAATTAAAAAACAAACTAACAAAATTAACGAAAAACGCTTTTCTAAGATCCCCGTTTTAAAATCTCCGATCTATATCAAAATCCCAGTCAGACAAACTAAGGACAAACCAAAATATCAAAAACACACTATTTTCAAACAACAAGGAAATCAACTTTTAATCAAAGATAGAAAACACATGCTGAGACGAATCAAGCCTCAACGTAAAAATCCTTTACAGAGCTCTACCAGTCCAATGCCTACCAATTCGAGCGCTACTGATGAACCCTCTGCTCAAAGCACCTCCGGTAATCAAATTGCCGCTAGGAAATTCAAGATTAATCGAAAATCGTCATAAAACTCAATTCCTTATTAATTTAAATTATATAACCAATCCAAAACTACATGAAAATCAACACGCACTGAATCTACAGAATTAAAAAGTTATTTTCTTCTGTAAAGGTTTGCAAGGCACTTTTGAGCACAATACTATCAATATCCAAGAAAGCATAGTTTCTGTTACACAAAATATGGCTTTTCAAATGAAATTCTTCGAGCAAATCGCACATCAAATAAATTTAAATTCAAATTAATCATTTGAGCGTCCTATCCATTCTTTCATTAAATCATAGGGAAATAAATATCCTCATTGAACATTTGCAAACTTTATACCATAAAGATCGTCTGTTAGATTTTGAAACAATGCACCCTTTTGAGATACTGAATCTTTGCGAACTATCAATTGTAACTTTGCGAAATGAATCATATTCGTAATTCATGTACCTCTTCTTGACCGTGAAAACTTACAGTGTTTTTGAATTGTATCCGTTAATTATAAGGAATGAATTAATAAAGATCCCAAGCAATTTTACTTTGTAATTTGAAGAAGAAAGATTTTGCTCCAATTTAATCAAACTAAGTAACAATCCGCATTTATGTTTTAAATTATTAAACAGGCAAATGTAAGCCATTTATGTTGGAAAATTTTCCTCATATTCACTTAAAATACTATTAATACTAATATTTCAATTGATATTAAAGACTGCAAGCAGATTGAATTATCATTGCCTTTATTTGAAAGTAATTTTAGCTTTTTAAATTCTTCTTATTACCAAAATCATTTGGAAATAATAGTTAATACTAAGTTGCAAAACCTTTCTTACGACTCTTACAGCTTTGGAACCATATTGTAACTGTAAATTAAATTTTCTCTAAGTTGGAGACCAACTTTTCGTAGGAGGGAGGAGTTATGGAATCCTGTTGGTAACATAACTATGTGGTACAAGCCCATTATTCCAACAAATTGAATTGTATGGCAAGCAAGCCCATTAAGAAATATTTGCTTTTTACTTCTTTTTTTCGATACAGCTCTGTTATTTTTCCTATAAAGATTAGAATTATATCGAGGCACAGACAGATTTTGTTCAATACTTGTAACCACTCTTCGTTCCTGCAATAAAGTCTGTTATTTTTCTACCATACGACGTGTGCATTCTTTATCTTATACTGTACTGAACATTTCTTATAAGAATCTTTATCACATTCTTTGGAAGCAACTGCTGGTTAAACCAATACCTACATCTGATTTGTTACGTAACATTTGATCTTTGCAATATTGTACTTAACTAGACTGTCACATCATGATCTGCAAGTATCTGCCACCCAGTATGTAAAAATACAAGTTCGACAATCAGGAAGAGTTCCAGAAAATAAAAATAAATTGTATATCATTTTCAATAGTTAATTCAAAAGCAACAGCATTTTCAATATATTCAGTATCAGAAAAATTAAAATGTGTACATTCACATTCTGAATTCTAACCAAAGTGATTTTGATAACTGAGTATTTCATTGTCATTTGCTTTCTTAGTATAGTTTACTGTGACAACCACTGCTTATAATAAAATTAATATTGATTATAGTAAAACTTAAAACCTGTAATTTATATATTGATACAATATATACTTCATCGTCATTATGCCTCCACATCTATGATCCCCTCCCGAATTTCACACGCACAATCTCTTGCTAAGAAATCAGTTCAGACTATGCCGATATTACATTCTTTGACAATTTGGTCATAAAAACGGTATTATTCCTGTGCTGAACTGTATGTTATAGATTAGAAATCGCTAAAAAAGATGAACTATTACTCAAATGTTCATCTGTATCAGATTGTCAAAAATCCTTCATGGACCTCATCCTGAACAAGCGTTGCAGAGTTGAGTATTACCGATGGGTTTTTCGCCATTTCTTGCTATTCCAGCACTACTGCCACCGTTCATTCGTGAGCGCGAAGGCAACGACATCAGATTTCCCTGATTCAATTAAGGAGGAGCAAGAAAATGTCAGGCATAAATTCTCAATAAGCGCTGAAAATATTATTTCCGAACGTCTCCGTGATAGCGGCATTTATACTGTGCAAGGATAGCAGCAGATATTCTCCGTTGGTTTTTTAGTTTGTTGAACGTAATAGTATGAATCTATTATCTGGCAATAATACTGTTAGTTAGAAATATTGAGTAACATGACTATAGTTCAGGACAATTGGGGAAAAGGTCTGTTCATCTGTTTCAGGTGCCGTTTTTAGCTACTATTGTCTACTGTTTATCCTGGAATAAACGTCATGCGTTTGATTGAAGAATATGAATTGTGTCGTGTGGACGTACACCTTTGAGAATACTTGAATATTTGAGTTAAGTGAGAAAATTATTAGATATGCCTTTTTTGTTGAATAGTGTCATGGTAAAAACGACATAAAAAGACATATTTAGAGAGAAAAATGGTTCAAATGGGATAAGTTATATATTATCATTGAATTTCTGTAGTTTACTGCAGTTGAAAGAGCTCGAGTAAACATAATGTGATAAGGATATAACAAGTCTTATCAACATGAAAATTCCATTCTATAAATTATTAGAACTAAAAATATGTGTAATTTATAATTGAATTAATTCTCTTTGATAGTATTTTTACCAGGTAAAAGACAAAACTAAACTTAAAAGAACAAAAATACGATGAAACAAAATGAAAACAAACATTTCGCTTCATCAATGTAACTGAATATAGGTAGACTTTATAATAAAATTAACAAATAGTGCTGCTTTTTCAGTGATAGTAATTTCTTCAGGTAGGCTCCATAGCGAATGCCGAAAGCTTGATTTTATCATTAAAAGAGTCAACTTAAGCCTAAAAATTTTGCCAATTTCCCAATTAACAATTAATTGTATTTTGTGTATATATATATTAATCAACTTGTGCCTTTTTAACCAAAGTTAGACGAATATGATCCTTACTTATATAATTTTACTGAATTGTTCTTACAGCCTTCCACTTAACCAACGTAAAAATGTCGTGAGTCGACAAAAATGACTTATGCCCTTTCAACTACTTGCCACATCTTTACATGTTTGTATTAGAGATAAAAATGAATTTCTGGTTGGGCTTCGGATTCAAAACAGAATCTCTACTCTCGAAGCACCTAAAGCATTATCTGTCTGTGCTGTACTGATTCTGGGTGGCAAGCATTGTTCAGTGCACACTCAGCTATAAAATGAACTACCTATAGCTCCTTACATCATAGTGGATTGACGATTATTCACTACATATTCGTTTTGTACTGGGATCTGTATTGCAAATAAATATTAGGTAGCTTAAGGTTGAACCTAATCGGATATCACAAGCAAAATGTAATGCCCAAACAGCTTAAGATATTTATTGTTTTCTTTTTGTTAATGCACATGCCTGAAATCTGCAGACCTGGTAACGCTACTGTTGACTCCAATTCGGTGACAACGTAAACGCAACTATAAAGCAGCAAGTGAAGTTTAAAATGTTCGATTACTTACCTGTTGTTCGTTGATGTACCAATATAGCATTGGTGCAGGATGACTTTTTCCTGATGTACAATTCAAATTTATCTCATCACCTATCTGGTACTGCATCTCCACTCCTGTAATGACAGGATCCTCTTGTGGTAAAGCTGAAACAAACGAATTAACATTAAGCCTAAACTGCATGTACCGGTCGCGGTCACAGCAATCTTAGCAATCGATTTATAAAGTGTACAACTCATCTTTTCGCTTGAATACAAGCTTTAGAGTTTTCGAGAAATGTTTGGTAGTGCCACCACGGAGTTATGTACCTTTGTAATTTCAAAATCAAAAATTGTGGATTTGGATGTTGGATGAGCTGTAAATGAGTGAATACTAACGGAAAGCCACTTTGCAGTGGGCAGATTATTGATTATTTTTCACAACGAAATCCTTACAGTCAAAGTCCTAAGAGCTCATGTAAATTAGATTACAACTACCAATATGACAAACATTCAGACATCCTTCCACCACGTCCTTCCATTAAGCTGGATTTTTCGGATCGGTAATACCGCGATTGGCGCTAACCACAGGTGTCCCAATCATTTTTCGCACACTATAATTTGAGTTTTCGGTAGACCCAAACCCGCTTGTTCGTATTCTGTCATCTGTCTCCAAATGTCTAGACCTATACCATACTGATGACTGTCTAAAAAGCACGAAACGTCGCGGAGACGGAAAACATACGGATACTATTTAGCCTTGACTTTTCTAGTTTTTAAGCAGCGCGGTGGCGTAGTCGTTGATACTATAGGTCTTCGCATCCTGTCCCAATATAGTTTGTCCGTGTGACCGGACCCCCTTTCCCCTGCATCTATTTATAGCCCCATGGTAGTCAGGTTTTAGGCCTGCGTGGTGGCTGAAGTATAAAAAAAGCTTCTTCATTGTTAGTGAATATCATACAATGTCAATGACAAAACAGCGAAAGTTGAGTTATTGAACTAAAAGGAAGTTTCAGCTAATGATGAACTCAAAAATATTTTGCTGTTACTACTGGAAGACGCCAGTATTCAGCACTGATAAATTAAGTAAAAGACAATATTGCTCAAGCTAAGCATTGAGTCGTAGATTATTGACTTTTACATCAAGACTTTTCAAATATCCTCTGATGGACAAAATAATAGTGAGCACAACCGTGTGAAGTATCTATGGCTTAATAAAAGGACGCAGGAGGCTGCACGTTACTGTATGTTGAGACATGTCCATGAGCGTATAATAGCCACCAGCAGCACGTCTGTTGATTTAGTCGTTCTTTCATATAGACAGTATAAAGTGCGGACTATGGCATCGTGGTCACGTAGTGAGATAAGGGCAGTTTTACGGTGTAACTTTTAACGAGTGGTTAAGCATAGACCAGAGCTTGCATTTATCCCAGGCACTTTATAACAACTCTTCGGTGTCAGTGACTACTTCAATAATGACGGATAGCTGGAGTGACATTCATGATCGCAACTGTAGGTCCATTCTTGCAGGAAAATTCAGAAAGTAAGCTTAACTGAACCATTGTAAAGAAATGATTTTTGGATGTATTTTCTCCATATACCATGTACAATTAACTACTCACATTCGGTTATGGTGCTTTTAAACACTCTTTGCTTCCTTCAGCTTTCTACTATGATTGCGTCTCACCCAATTCGGAATGAGAAAAACCCAGTACCTAAATCATAAGGTGAACAGCCGGCTAGAGTAAAATAAAACACAAACTCCGAGGCGATGCCGACTACCAACCAGCATCCATTTCCAAAGCAGCTTTGAATAAAAGCGGTTAAGAGCAATAGGTAAAGTTTAATAGAATTGTAAAACAGGAGAATTTATGAAGTGGAAGAACTGTCAGTGTCAAATACCGAGCAACGAGTATTTACGGGCAAAGTTTAAAAACCTCCAGGTGGGATAGAAAAACTTCGGCGGGACCTGGCCACAAGCGAAAAAGTCAAGGAGGGTAATTTGCAGGCATAAATCGAAAAGCTTATAGGGTGGGGTCGTCTGTCATCGGTCGACGGAAAACGCGGATGAAAAATTGTGTTAAACAAGAAAATGCTTTCCACAGGCGTTTGCGTATAGTGCATTGGTTAAGGCGTTACTGTAATTTTTTACCAAAATGAGGCTTGGCACGGTGCGAGTACTCATCTGGAAGGTCAAATTCAGTGAAATTGCATAATAAATTCCGTTTCCATTTGAAGCACTCATGATGTACAAAATGAGTCGGTAGAATTAAATTATTTAAAACTAAATAGGGAGGACAATATTAATTTTCCCTGTTATTTATATCATGTACTCGTATTGGACTTGTTTTCTGGGAAATAATAGATTCAAGCTATACGTTACGTTGCTGCACTTAATAAAATATCGGAATATAAAAGAAACTGAATTCGACTCTGGAATTTTGAGCTCCCAAAATACCTGTAACGCTTCCTTTCCGCAAAAAGTCCAGAAAAGATGGAATGCAATGAAGATTCCAACTTTTCTGCACAATGACAGAACGGGGGTTAGCATTAGCTTCCGGTAGCTCAGTCGGTGGCATGAAGGCATCTACAGGCGTGTAGCTGTGTGTCGACCATGGCATGGCTAGAGGATAGAAGAAAAAACAGAATACAAAAATTTAACAGATTTTATTTAACAAAAAAAGCTTTTTCATTACATAACAATTTTAAAGAACAAAATAAGTTTTAAATCTCTGGCGCTGCTATAAAACTATACACTTATCTTTCGCTGGTCCATTTTTGACTGGACTGAAGCGAGGATGGCCAGGTTATTGAAGTGGAGGTCCCAGTTATGAGGGGTGACCTCACATTTAGTGGCTTCAGAACTAGATGTAGGCGAAGTTGAACTTAAAGGTGATGGCGCTGCCAAGGCACATGCATGGGTGAAGTGATAGGCCAAGCAATGCAAAGTCAAAGACAAAGGCAAAAGCAAAGTCAAAGACAAATCGAAAGGGAAAGGGAAAGAGAAAGGGGGTGGCCCCAATCATTTTGTCCTATTCGGACACACATTCTACAAAATTCTAGCACATGGTGCTATACGACCTCATGCTACAGAGAACAAAATTCTTAGCTCTTGCTAGATCGGCGGCTCAAGTGAAAAGGAAACGCGAGGAAGATCGCAGATCAGGAACTCCGCATCAAGCGCTCCAAGCGGAAAATTTTCCAAGCAAAAAAGCTAGAGATGGGATTAATGATTTGCGATTCTGAAATGATAATCGAGAAGTGATTTAATAAATACGATCGGACGGTGAAACCGTTACATTTAACATTACGTTTAGCTTAATATTGAGCATTCTTTTGTAAAATGTTGATCAAACCAAGCTGATAATCCCGTGAAATTTTTGTGTCATAAACTCCTGAAAATAAGATATTTGAATAAATAAAAATGTTCAACTGCAACACCAAGAAGCGCGGTTAATCTACTTTTCTAATCATCAATCATTCAAAAAAGTGAAAAAACCTAGTTCAGCCCTGGATTTTTAACAGTTCGTCTAGTTTTACGTTACACTTAGGTAATTTTGTACAATGTTAACGATATCGGCTCAATAGTGCCTGAGATATGGGATAGCGAAGTTTTTGAGTGATTAAATAAATTGATGAATGAACTCAAAACTTTTATATTTTCATCAATGGTGGTGGTCCGTACTGCCTATGTAAGTACGGACCACCCTGTATAGCGGAGAATTGAGGCATTAGGAGTGAGACAGTATAATGCCATGTAAATTATACGAGGTACACCTAATACAATACTATTGAATGTGCTATCAGGTTTCGTATATTCATATGCGAATTTCACATTACGTATAATTAATTAATCGGAATCCTCGTGGGCCTCAAGCTCTGTTCTAGTGTAATTTCTAAGCCTTATGGTAGCATATTCTCGGTATCCATGAAAATTGTTATCGTCTGAAGCCCACAAGCTTCCTATTGTGCTCACATCAATAGATTAAGAAATGTTGGCAAATTTTGCTTACCTTATGGCATTTAGACTCGTAATTATAGTATTTACAAGTATTGGCTGTTGAAATATTACAGCTTTTGAATCAATTATACTACCGAAAACGTGTTCTTGTTTCATTAAATGATTTTCTTTATGTCCTATGAATGAAGTGAATATCTTAAAAAATAAACTATACCTAATGGAGTATACTCGTATAAACGAGGAACATTTTGGTAGCAAGCAGTATTTGGCGATAACTATGCCGACCATGGACGAGCCATCATGACCTTATTGTAGCATATCTATAGCCCGGCTATATATCTCGGCTATATCAGCTGTATATTGGCAACGTGACACATACACTTTTTAGAATCCTACTAAAATCCTAGCCTACTTCCTACTAATATTATAAATGAAAAAGTGTTGATGTTTGTTACTTAAGCATGCCAAAGTGGCTGAACCGGTCTGAATTATAGGCTATAACTGCTATACGACAACTACATATGAAAAATGCTCCAAAAGGTGTTCAAATCTGGTACAATCCAAAACAAGGTAAATCGGGTGATACGACGAACCATGGAATTTTTACAAAAGATACCAACTTTATGAGAAAACAGCTTATTTAAGACTCCTTAGTGAACAAAATGATTTTGTGAATTTACAAATACAAAAATCTAAAAATAGCGAGATTCCTACCCGACTCAAAGCTCATAGAGAAATAAACAAATATGTTTATTCTGTTTCAACAACATTCATCCATCATCCAGAAATTGCTTTCTATGAAAATATTATATATACTATATATTGTAGCCATAAATGAAGTTTTTGCCCATTAAATTATACAGATTTTCAATATTTCATCCCTTAAAATCCGATGCATTTGGAACTGACTGAGTATCAAGGGACACAATGCTTAAATTACGTTTTTCCCTAATTTCAATACATAAGTTACATATTATCATAAATAAATGCTTAGAAAAAAGTATATTTCCTAAATCATGAAAATGCTCTCTTGATTTACTTGTGCTTAAAGTAAGTAATCCTAGCTCGTATACTGACCTGAGGCCTCTTAGCATTTTACCTATTACTTTCCAAATTATTGAAAAGGGCATTGCATAGTATACGCAAATAAATATGTTTTGAAATGCATAGTACCATCTAGACAATGTGCTTTTAGGAAGGTATGTAATA